GGGGGGAATTTGTCAGAAAAACACTATGAAGGTTTTCCGTGATGAGGAATCTAACGGTGATAGCAGCATTTCCAAAAAATGCACAGCAACTTTGGGGTAGCAAAAATTTAGGGTGGACCTATAATTATGAAACGCAGTGTATATTCGCATGAGTATGAACATATACATATTTATATACCGCTGTGGGCGCTCATCAGGTAGCGGCGGAGCGGGCATGTATGCAAACTCTGGAATGCATGCTCACCCCTACCTCCCTAACTGGTTCACTTCTCCCTGGCTCACGGGGTCTCTTGAAAACCGTTGCCGACAGGGGGAGTGTAGGCAGTCTAGGGTGGGTGGGGGTGAGGGCAGCCACTTGATGCCCCCTTACTGAATGAGCGCCTACAGTTGCAGTCAAAAGTGACATCAATGAGACATGCTTTTGAAGCGTTCAGAACTTTGACCCTTGTAGGGTTTAGATATTTTAAAAAAAAACTTCGAACTGATCTTCAGATTTATGCTCAGTGAGGAAAAGGAAAAAGCATTTTGGGAACACTCTTGGCCGCTACTGTATTTGTGTACATGGTGGCCACAAGTTACGATAACAAGAGCGCGTTGTGTGCAATTCTAACAGAAGTCACAGAGTTCTGCACACTGTACATTTGCTTCAGTCAGATCGCCGCTCGTTCACAAATTAGCCATGTAAAATGCGACAATTTTGGAAGTGTGATGCCTCACGAAACATACAGTCGTTTGACCGCTAGCATCTAGGATGGTGCACGCAATGAGACCCGAAGCATCCCGCAAGCTTCTGTTTACCACCATTGCAATACATTTTAGGTGCCACACCATTATAATAGTTGTTATTCTAGGTGACAAGACGATCGGCTCCTAAAGGCAGTTGTGGCTATTAGCAACAATGTTAGCAAAGTAGCCGCGAGCAGGGTGAATATCGGTCGAGGAAATCCTCGACAGGGGGGTCGTATTGTCAGGTGGGTCATGGGGGTCGTACTCGTGGGGGTCAGTAACGTCAGTGGCATCGTGGTGCAGATAGGAGGGAGAGGGTGTAGCGCAGCAGAAAACAAGGATATGAGAAAAAATGATATAAAATTTCTTTGCAGGTTCAGTCGCTCCGTCTCTCTACCTTCGAGAAGGAAGTATTTGAAAGTATACAAAGAATGAAAGTGCATCTTTGCAAGGAACAGGGTCACATGTGCACACGCGCTGCAAAGGCATTTCCTCTATCTACCGCCCGCTCCCTCTCCCTCAATACCTCGTTGAGAATGACACTGTTGTTAGGGACGCTGTCGCAAAACGACAACCGTGAAGGAAAGGCCCTGGGCAAATGAAGTTGTTCTTTAGGTTATAGGAGTTACGAAATGAGTGCTATTTGAGCGGCCGAGAATCATCCTCGATAGATCCTCGACGCAAATATCTCCTCAACTAAAGGAATGTAGAAGGAAGCTAAACATACTGTTAGAAAGCGCAAACCTTCCGCTTTCCAAAACTGTCTTCATTTTTTCAAGATCTTACAAAATTAGAGATATTGCCTTTTAAGTGGCAAAAACTCGCATGAAAATTTTAGCATCCTCGACGCTGCCTCGACAAAATTTGAGAGACCCTATCTCTTCGAGTGTAAAGATTTTAGATCAATTTCAATATTGCCCGGTAGTAGCAAATCCAGCTCTATCTAACCCTACCACATACTGCTCCAAAGGTTATGAAATGGGGGAATGGAACCTTTTCATCGAGAGTGTAGATTTCGACGGTTTCGAGCGGGGTTTCGGCAACTGAAATGCGCTGCAACTGAATGCTTTGCTGTACATTGATGGAACTCGCTTATTCACATCAAATCAAAGTTAGAGGGGTCGTATCAAGATCCCGATGTGAGGAGGGGGGTCGTACTAAGTGACCACGTCCTCGACACGATTTTCATCCTGGAGGGTGCGTTGAAATAGTGCGCTGAGCACCCGTTCGACGGCGGAAATAAGAAATATTCGCGTATTATTAGAGAAATTCTTTGGTTTTTACTTCAAGACTAAGGCATATAAGTGTGGGAGTTCCGACTTCTGACTCATGCTGGCAAAACGGCAAGAAAACAAGGGTGCAGTTGGATGCTGTCTTGATTTTTTAAAGTCGATTCTCGTTTGTTTCAATCACTGAGGAGGTAATGCAATCGATCCCCCTATCTCCTAAGCAAGGGTAAAGGATCTACGCTAATAATGAGCTTAATCTAAACTGCTAAGCGACGAATCCAAATTAATCAGCAATCCCTAGGGTTTCACATCGAGGTAAATGACACCGTTGCCCTTAATCAAAATAAGCTTTAGAATGTTTCTCCTTCAAGCTCGACTAATTTGATCGTCCGAAGAAAAACCTTGCTGTAAAGCCAGATATTTTAACATTACAGAGCCCAGTGCACAAGCGAAAGATGGCCAAAGATGGTTCATGCAAAACTGTCTCGAAATCACTCCGTCCGATGAAGCTAATGAAGTTCCTTTTTACAAATTAAAAGAACCACTATGTATGGCGTATACTGGAATCTGCGCCTGCTCTGTGCGCCATCGAAACTTTGAAGAATTGGGAGCATCGTTCAAGAAACCTTCGGACGAGCTCAACGCCGCCTATCTTCACGCCATTTTAAGCAGTGTTCCCTCGAGGCTCGTTTCTTTAACCCATGCAGACGGCGGCTATGTTAAGAAGGAATTTGTTTTCTGTTTTTCATGCAACAATAAATGCATTCTCATCATCTCATTTGTGCCTCTTTTGTGCTCGCTTAGCTTTTTGGCCACCCAACAGGCACATATTAGTTCACATGTTTATGTGTATGTATAGTGTCTGTGCGTGTGTATTGTATTACATACAGGGGGCCAAAAAAGACACTTTAAACAGATACGGAGATTCACGATTAGAATGAAGGTCGAAGAAAGGGAAACTGACCTAGTTGAGGGACCCACGGACCTCCTGAGGGTGCGAACTGACGCGCAATTCGCATGGAAAAATTTGACCTCGGCGACCTATCATGCCTCAAAGCTGGCGGGTCCGGCGATCTCCGCCCACCGATCATCTGATCACTCGCCGTAGTTCAATACGTGGCGAGTGATTAGATAGCTGAGAGAGCGTAGTGTTGAAGAGGGCACAGCGATGAGAGTCGCATCAATGCTCAAATCAACGGGCAAGGAAGGGGTCCCATTTCTCGGGTTCTGGGCCGTTTCTCATGGTTTTTCCTTCTTTCGTGTACCACTCACCATCCCTAAGTTAATTTGAAATGGGTTGCCTTTCCAGCGTGAATTCGTCCTTTAAACATTTCAGACAGCATTATACATGTTGCTAAACTCAAACCGACTGCTTTCAACTTATTATTGAAAAGCACATCCCAATCTATCAATAAACGTTATAATAGCTTTCTGCACCAAGGACATCACAAGAATTTGCCATGGGAACCTTGTGCACGGTTCGAGCTCAACTGGTCCTCGGCGGATCATGGACCTTTACGACGTTATCTGGAACGCTGGTCGGAAGGTTTTGCATATTCAGAGCTACTGTCCCTAGGAAGCAATCCGTCAGTTACCGATTGAAGAAATTTCGTAGCAGCTTCAGGCTGGAACGATTACGGTAGGCCTTCTTGAGCTCAACGGTGATGGAAGATGACGTCATATTTTGAGGACGGTGAGGGCAGTGGAAGAGGGCCTGCTTCTACTTATGGGAGGACATCTAAGGGATATTTTGCCGTAAAACTTTCATGAACAGCGGCACTCTATGCGATGAAATTTTTGGTCACCAGCAATAACAGCAAAAATGTGTGAGGTATTGGTTTTCGCGTTTACACACACCCACCTTTAGCGACCTATCATATTAGGCTGGCACATAATTTCGGAGACTCGCTACATGTAGTTTCGTAAAAATCTTTTGACACTATTGAAGCTTTCCAAGATGTCTTGGCAACCCAGCGTACAAGCTCGCCTATCCGACTGGGTAGCCACACCTCGTTTGCTCGTTCCCCTTATTAGCTAACCAGGAAGGTCTTTCAGGGCGTGACAAGCTTTTTGAAAACGGTCTTTTGCATGATATAGGGGCAGATGCGGGAACCACAGAACCATGGTTTAATTTTTTCCTGAACGGCCCTCTGAATACCAGAAAAAAAGGGGTCCCTAGTTCGATTCCTCGTGGTGACAAATTTTTGCATTTCGAGTTGACGTTTCAAAATTCGCGCAAAATGGAGTTAGCATGAATAATTAGTACCATACATGATTAGGACCGTCAGTAACCCTTACAAATAGACTTTGATTTAAAAAAAGTGGTGAAAAAACTGAGACACCAGAACGCCCACTGCCCCCCCCCCACTGGGTGTCACAGCTTTTAACCAGTTTTTTAATCAAAGTCTATTTGAAGTTACTGACGGTCCTAATCATGAATATGGTACTAATTATTCATGCTAACTCCATTTTGCGCGAATTTTGAACGTCAACTCGAAATGCAAAAATTTGTCACCACGAGGAATCGAACTAGGGACCCCTTTTTGGTATTCAGAGGGCCGTTTAGGAAAAATTAACCAGTGTGCATAGCAATAAACATATACAATTTAACTGGGCATACACATCTTTTTACCGGTTTGTTCCATTTCAAGCCCCTCTTATATCAACAACGAACGTTTTATTGAATACGTATAAAAAAACAAGTTTAACATGTGCACCTATGTAAGAAATTGCAAAAGAAAACAGAACAACATGCAGCCAATGCAATGCAATTCCTTGTAGATATATTTTGCTCAGAAAAGCATTTTGTGAAACTGGAAACTGGAAAAATTACGCATGCAATCTAAAAACTACATGATGATCAGACAATTCGAACTACTCATAAACTATGGTTTCTTTAGCGAAACAACTAACATTGTTCGGCACAAAACGTAAAGAGGTGAGGAACGAAGAAGCGGCTCGACATAACCAAGAAATCGCTGGTCATTGTGACATGAAGCTTTTCGGCCGCATACCAGCACGTGTGAAAATGAAGAGGTACCACTATCACGTCATAGAAGTTTCAGACCACCAGTGACTGCGTCCACCTGTTCGACTGTGCCGAATATTCCCAAAACTGTTCGCGATCCAGGTGGTATCTGCGTGTAACCGGGCGTCTTGTACCAAATAACAGAAACAACCCTGGAAATAAGCAGCCTCAACTTGGGTTCTGTAGTACTAGGTGAAAGATATACAGTGTCCTAAAACCACTGCCAGCAAAATTTGAACACTCAGCAAATACCTTGCCACCATATTTATAGCACATGATGTAGCGAGTGCAGTGCATGAGCACAGTGGGCCAAAATTATGGTAACCAAGAGTGCAAGCAATGAAACTTTTCTCTCAGCTATTTTCACTTTCATTATAATTTGGTGCATAAGTATAGACAGAATGTCTTAATTCTAGGGAACCAAACTCCATACATGTTTAAAGGCAGCGGTTACGGGAAATTGAAGGGGTGGTGCTCATTGGTACAACAGTGGCGAAAAAAAGCAAGTCAAGAAAACGCAAAACGGGACCCCTTTTTGGCCGTTGGTTTTCACTCATGAACAGGTAACAGCTCAGAAAGTGGAGTTATGAACGAGTTCACCGCAACGCGTTTGATGGCACCATTGCCAAATCACGCTTTAATCGAGATGCTCCATTTGCGCCGCTGCTGGCCACGCAGCTCGTCCAAATCATAAACTAGTGGGCGGATCGCTTTTGGGGGGCGGAGTGCTTTCGAAGTCCTGCTCAGCAACCAGCGCACCTTTCGTCGTGAAAGCGCCACACCTCGCTTCCTTGGCAGCCAAGTAACTGATTCGTGTGGTGCATATGCTTCCCCGATGCGCTCCCCTTTATCGTAATCGCTTCCTTTAAGCTAATGAAACAACCACCATCATTTTATGCCACCTTCAAACTGGACCGAAAGGAGTTCTGGCACGCTAGTTTGCGTTAGTTCCACGTAACAAATAAGCTTCTATGGGCAATTGAACGCTTATACACGTCTGCAATACCTAAGGAATGACGTCGAAAGCAAGTTCTCCTAGATATTCTGAAGACTCAACCTTGACGCAAGCCACTCGAGTACTCTACTTTGAATTTTTCAGCAGAATCCTCCACACAGAAAAATGAATCAACCAATCCATTACTTAACATTAACCGATGACATGTCACTACTAAGAATGCTGAAATGGGAACAGTGATTTCCAACCAATTGATCTGGCCAAGAAAAAACAGATGAAGAAATGTAGTGATACACTTGACACATACCCCATCTTTTGCGCTTTTGCACATATCCATCAATTCCTCCGTGCTATTACCGCGGACTACGATCTTCACTTGCCCATGACGTGTCCACGCCTCTACTGCTTCACGGCCAGCCTCAGAGTTCATCGCCTGAAAAATATCAGATTCCGACATACTAACTTCCAAATGAAAGTTTATTCGACTTTCTGCTCTTCCCTTTATTTACTGATTGCTCGGCTTGCTTATTCTCACTGCCCTGCAGTTGTACTGTTAAGCCCTTGTCCACGTAAATAACTAAACGAAATTTGCGAATTCGATTCAAAACCAATGCATTTTTTGCAAAAACACGTTGATGAAA